GGAGCCAGCGGGTTACTGTGCTCATGGCACCAGGTGGTTGCAGACACCAACCACACACAGACCGCGAAGGGCTCACTCCCTGCACCCGCCAGGCCTGGCCCAGCAGCCCTGCCCCAGCATGGAGCCTCTCCGGGGGGGTCTCTTCCCTCCAGCCAGGTGCCAGTATCTGTCTGTCCCTTCCAGGGTAAACAAATCCAACAAGGCACTGGCTCAGGTCTGCAGCCTGATTGGACTCGTCCTGCCAGTGGCTCCCCCGGGCGGAGGGCCCCGGCCCGGCCAGCCTATAAGTGCCAGCCGAGGTCTGCATCATCCCATCCCTCCTTGCTGCTGTGCCTCTGGGCTCCTTCCTAGCCCAGCCTCCGTTCCCCATGTCGTCTGGGGAGGCCCTGCTGCCAGGGCTGGGCCCGAGCGCCTGGGTTTGCAGGTAGCGACAGAGGGAAGACATTCCCCGGACCGCCCCCTCCTGCTAACCCTCAGCCTGCTTCCAAGTGCAGCCAGCTAACAGGAGCCCACGCATAGCCCGTGTGGGATACGCGCCTCAGCCCCTGCCACACGGGGCTGGCAATGTCCTGCCTCCCTTCAGCAGAGCACGAGCGCTGGGCGATGGTTTCCAAAGACACAATTCAATGCCACGTGTTCTATGGGGACCAGGACGGCTACGTAGCCGTTTTCCCTACCCGCGTGGCATATCGCTGCCCTCTCTGGCTCCATTTGCCCGGGCGTGCAGCGAGGGATAATACTCCCGCAACCCTCCCAGGGAAGGTCTGAGAGCGGCAAAACATCCTGAGGATTCAAAGCCTGGTGAACAGCTCTCGCCATGTTGGTGACTGCTCTTCCTATTAGCCAGGCGGCCGTGCGAAGTGTGCGCCAGTAACCGGCGAGAATGGCGAGGGCTGGAGAAATGCCACGCAGCGGGGTGGGGACCTGGCTCTGAGCCCCCCCCCCGCCATTAAAGGAAAAACGAAACAGCCCCCAAACGCCTTTTTTTAAAGTGTTTTATCCACAGTTTTTCGTTTTGCCTTCAAGGCCAGCGTGTGGTTCCTCACACCACATTCCTGCGCCGCTCCGCAACCTAGATTTACAATAATCCAACCCAGACTGAGAGACCCTCAGCACGTCTGGCAGATTCACCCATGTACAGGCTTCGGAGCAGGGACTGTTTTATAAAGAAACGCTTCAAAAGACTCAGCACAAGCGCTCCGAAGTGCAGGGAGCGTAGCGGTGACGCAGTCTGTACAGTAAATAAATCAGTGTTTGCCCCTCCCCCCGGGACAGGGCTTACAATAATCCAACCCAGACTGAGAGACCCTCAGCACGTCTGGCAGATTCACCCATGTACAGGCTTCGGAGCAGGGACTGTTTTATAAAGAAACGCTTCAAAAGACTCAGCACAAGCGCTCCGAAGTGCAGGGAGCGTAGCGGTGACGCAGTCTGTACAGTAAATAAATCAGTGTTTGCCCCTCCCCCCGGGACAGGGCTGGGGGGGGACACCCCCCCCCCCCCCCCCAGGTCTTGCAGAGCAGGGGCAGACGTCATCTCCCGGGATCCACTTCCCTACCTGCCTCCCCCTGTGCAAAAGCCAAACTCTTGGAACCAGGCAGCAGGGGCCGGAGCTTTCCGAGCCGGGGCACGCGGGTTCCCATGTTGCCATCACCCCGAGGTCCAAGTGGCCATGGGGGGAGGGGGGGTGGCACCAAGACTCCAGGAACAAGCCCAAAGAGGCAGCTGAGAATCTCCCACCGCCCTGCAGAGCTCAGCAAGGGGATGCCGCAGCGCTGCAGTCCCGGCCCCCGGCTCTGCGGGGGTGTGGGGACGCTCTGCCAAGACACAAGGCCTGTGGGACAGGAGCCTGTCCTCAGACACTAACAGGGCAGGTGGTGGGGGGCTGCCACGGAACGGAATGGGAGCTTCCTATGCCCACCACTGCCACCCCAGCGGTTAAACCTCCAGCAGGCAGGCATATGGGTACACAGGCCCCTCCCACAAACACACACACACTCTAGAGCAGGGAAGGGACCCACAGCCACACCCAGCTGCAGGAACAGACAGACACATTCTCACGCCCACATACCTCCTCTGGTAGGGATGGGGGGACACACCCAAACCTTGCAGCAGGGACAGACACACACACATACTCTCCCCTTCCAGAAGGGACAGGGACACAAACTCACCCCCCCCAGCAGGGACAGACGTACATCCCCACACCCTCCACAGCAAGGAGCAGCGGGGACAGACACCCTCCCCACACACACACCCTGCATCGGGGAGCAGCAGCGACACAACCAGCAGCTCCGACAGAGCACTGGCCCCCATGGTCAGAAGGGCGCGATGTGTTTGTGGTTCTCTTCCCCTTCCCCCAGCCTGCTGCCTGCCGGCGTTGGCCCCAGACGCGCTGCCCCACTCCCAGCGCGGTGGGATCTGGCTGGAGCCCAGGGCGGTTCTGAACGAGGGACACTCAGACAAGTCCTGTCTGAGCGGGGAGTGCACGCTAAGCTTCTGCCCCTCGGCTCACGCCGGCACGGCGCCCACCGGGACTGCCCGGCGAGCGAGGAACTGGCAGCTCCCAACCCACTGCCTGTGTGGGCCCAGGGGGGCCCCCAGCCTCCGGAGGCTCCCTGCGCCGCAATGGGGACCACGGCAGTGACCTGGACTCCTGGTGGCTACTCACAAGGGGGCTGCATCGGGGTGGCGCTAGAGGACCACAAGGACTCGGGTTTCGGCCAGTGACACTGTCGATTGGGGGCCACTCCTGTGCGCTTCCTGGAGCCCCGCGGGATTCACAGCGGCGCAGCGAGAGCCCCACGGCGCCACGCACCGTGGGCTGCTCGGTAACTCGGGCGCGCCCGAGGAGTCGGCCAGTGCCCAACGATTACCAGCAGGGCTTCGGCTTTTGGCTCTCGCCGGCTGCCTGGCCCCAGGAGCTGCACTGCATGTGACGACGTGGAGGGATCTCGCTGGCTCTGCCCCAAGCCTGTGCCACTACAGAGGAGAAGGGGGGCTGAGGACCCGCCCTGCACCGGAGCTGGATTAGGAGGGAGTATCCCCAAAAGCTGCTGCCCCCTTCAGCCAAAGCAGGATGACCCAGTGCCCCCCCCCCCCCCCCCCGCC